TCACGGCCGCCAACTGGTCATCCAGTGTCAGCCGTGAATCCAGGAGAACGCCCAAGTTGCGAACCCGATCCGAGGGGGCCAAAGTTTCGCCCCCTATAGTCAGCGATGGCGTCAGTTGACTATGCCGAGGCGCTGGTAGCCACAGCCACTCGGTCTTGGACGGGTTGAGCCTGAGTCTGTTCCTCCCCATCCAGACCCTTGAGACATGTGGTGGGTTGAGAAAGGCAGCAGAAGACAGTGGCCAATTGAATCCTAAGTGGAAATACAGGTGGTCCTCCACTTACGACCACAGTTGAGCCCAAAATTTCTGTTGCTAAGTGAGACATTTGTTAACTGAGTTTTGCCCCATTTTACGACCTTTCTTGCCACAGATGTTAAGTGAATCATTGCGCTTGTTAAATTAGTTAAGTGAATCCGGCTTCTCCATTGATTTTGCTTGTCAGAAGGTCACGTGAACCAGGGACACGGCAACTGTCATAAATATGAGTCAGTTGCCAAGCGTCCGAATGTAAATCACATGACCATGGGGAATGCTATAACAGTTGTAAGTGTTGTCACCTTTTTCAGTGATATTGTAATTTCGTTAAATGAAGTGTTGTGAGCTGAGGCCTACCTGTAGATCATTTTGAAAAGGAGGAAACAGCTAATGGAGAATGAAAATTCACCTGCTAAATTTGACACATTGGTGAATATATATATAGCCTAGGATTGTTGGGTTTTTCAGGTTTACTGAGTTTGTTTCTCTTCCTGCAGAGGTTTCATTACCAGGCAAATAATATCACCAGTACATTAGTGCACTGATAATACACAAAGCCCAGCAGTGAAACATCTGCAGGGAGAAAAAAGCCAGTTTGGAGAACATTAAGAAGTCAACTTCCTAAACCACCTGCTCTAACATAGATTGATGAAAAATTCTGAAGAACAGAATTTCTACATTTTTTTAAACATGGATTTGCAGTTTGTCCTAATGTCCTCAACTCTACCTTTCTATTTTGTTTTTGTTTGCCTTTTGAAGACTCCCAGCTAATTTCTCTACATTGCTCCTTTAAGGATATTGGCAAAGGATTACTTGGGATTCAGATAAATGTTGTTCATTCACACTCTGCAATTCTGTCTGTACAGGGGGATGGTGATCACAGGGCACACCCAGGCCTTGCGCACAAGGTGCCTGTCCTGACTAGCACTCACGCACCCATGTTCCTACCTGCCAACCTGGAGCAACACGAACCTGGAAGCCCTCTGTCCCCTCGACTTCATCCTGTTATCATTCTGGAGCCCTCGCTTACACACACTCCTCTGGTTACAGGTGAGTAAATGGCCTTTCATCTTTTGGAAAGCAGGGAAGCACAGAACACAGAGATCAGGCAACTTTGCCTTACTTAGATTGCTGAACTATAACTTCCATGATTCCCAGGAAGCCTGTTCAGGGGCTGAAAAATGCTGGGAGTTGAAGTTCAGCAACATGTGAAGGTCTGCCTAGATTTAGTCCTTGATATGTGCTCACAGGTATTAGCATTCAGCTTTTCTAGAAAAGTCATTCAGGAGGAGCATAGTTATCGAGAAGTAACAGGGACATTGTGCACAGTTACTTGGGATAGGACTATACAGTGCTTCGGATACAGTTCAGAAACAGTGCTTTGGAATGCTTAGGAACCCCAGTTTAACACTTGTCCATGGCCCTTTGAAATAGCCACACCTTTTCCCACTGTTATGCAGCTGTTTCTGTGGCAACCATGTCCTTCTGGAAACAGACGTGGCTATTTTAATGGGTCACAGCCAGATCCTATTCGCAGAAGAGGCTCACGAGTTTGCTGAATTGAACTTATGGAAAGTATCTGAGCCTCTGTCCAATGAAAAGGTTTCTGGCATGACACACTCTCTTAATTGATTGCTACGATTGATTTTTATGGATACATTTTACAGCTCTTATTGTTTAGATAGGGTGGCACGGTGGCTCAGTGGTTAAGACCCTGGGCTTGTTGGCTAGAAAGCTGGCAGCCCAGGTTTGAGACCTGAGTGCCACACAATGGGGTGTCCTCCTGTCCTCACCCCAGCTCTTGCTAACCTAGCAGTTTGAAAGCATGCAAATGCGAGTAGATTAATAGGTACCACTTCCATGGGGAAGTTAGCAGTGCTCCATGATGTCAGGCTGGCCACATGACCCCAGAAATGTCTTCGGACGGCGCTGGTTCAGTGGCCTCGAAATGGAGATGAGCACCGCTCCCTGTCGTTGGCACCGACTAGTGGAGTAAAAATCCACAGGGACTCCTTAACCTTTTATTGTTTATATAGTTAATGGAAGTCATATGCTTTATATTTTTACCTGCAGCTAAAGCTTGCGTGCTTGTTTGAGAGGAAATGCGAGTATAAATTGAATACTTTTTTTAAAAAACACACACATACAGAACGTATACCACAGTAGACCCGTTTCTAAATGGGTGCTTCCTGGCCTGTTCAGCTTCCATGCCCTCTGTTGCAATCCAACAGATCTGGAGGGCATCAGTCAGAAAAGGCTATTGTAGCGTTAGAAATGAGGCAAGTACCATTTGCACTGAACTAGCAAACGAATTTATCAGTTTGTATTTTACCAAAGGAAAAAATACGATAAGCAGGAATTAAACAGAAGCTACACCAAATGTATCCCTGATTAATACTGGAAATCCAATCTTTCAAAGAAGAAAGGTCCTGCTTCGCTTCTGTGGGGGGCTTGCCTGTTGAACATTGGCCTTCACGTTGCTACGTCCATTGATTATCTCAATCACTGCAGTAAATCTCGGGTGACTTGATGTATTCAAAATCAGCTTAAGATACCAATGCCCTGGGATTAGTCTTGCAGGGCCTGCAGAGCAACTTTCTGTGTATGGTAACCCTGGAGGAGGAGGAGGAACAGAGGGCTTTTCCCAATTGTAGCAAGGAGGAAAACACTTAAATGCCACAGTTGGTTAAAAACAACAGCAAACCAGCATATTAGCAAGAAGATCTTTAATGCAGGCTTGCCCCAAATGCAGAAATATTGCAAATATATACAGTATATTTAATGTGAATTAAATTACAGCTAGGGTCCTATACTTCAGGGTTCAGTGATGTGGCCCCGTGCAGAGGTTTTACGTTCCATCCTCCTATCCACAGGGCCATTTTTAATCTCTTGTAAAATAAAACTCACAAGCTCAGTTGCAGGAAAAGTAGCCCATAAAATCTGGAAGGTACCAAATTGCTAACCCTGGAGGCGCAAGACCTAATTGGCTATAATTAATCCACATTGTTGCATTTTCAGTGTTTTATGTATTTATGTTTTGAGTAAGTGTTCTGTTAAAGTGCCTCTTGAGATGCACTGGATTTTTGTTGGGGGATTTCAAACTGGTTTTCATATGTTGTAATGACTTTCTACAATTGTGAGCGGTCTGGGAGAAGAATGTGTAAGTTATTCCCTCCCTTTCATCCTGTTTTTAAATAGTGGACACTTTATCCTTACAGTAAGAATAAGCAGGCTGTGATTCTGAGAGTGAAAAAGGACACTTTGAATTGTTGGGAGATCATTTTAGTTAGGTTTGTTTCTTTCTTTATTGTGGTTTTTTTTTTTTACTTGTGGACTAGAAACCTGAAGACAGACAAGTTTCATAACCCAATGCTTAAGGTGCATCATTTAGAACAGCCTATTTTCATAGACTAAAAATGCACGTTGGGTTTTAAGAATTCTCTCAGACTCTTTATCAGCATTTGCAAGGGCTGTTTTCTGGATCAGTCTGTTCCCACCACACGTGAATGTCCCCCTAAGCCTTTTTGGGGTGCCCCCTGCTACCTTCAACCCCATGTCTCCTCCGTTTGCAGTTCCAGGGCTGGGATCAGTCCCCTTTCACTTCAGCCCTTCAGTGCTTCCTTCGGAGCGGCTGCCGATGCCGATGATCCATAAGCCCTTGGGACGGACCCGCTCGGAGCCTCTGCCGTCCAATCCCAGAACGGTGCAGCAGCAGCTGGCCTACCAGCAGCACCACGCTTACTTCCTGGAGCATCTGAAGCAGCAGACCCAACTGGGAAAGGTGAGCTCCAGTTTTGGTCTTCAACTGCTATGCAGGAGGAATGTGATCCCAGGGAATTGGGTAGAAGGTATATTTCTAATCCCACCCCACAAGAGACCTTATTCATTTGGGGGGCAAGTCACTAACGGTCACCCTTTTGGGGAAAAAAAGCTGCTCGGCCATTTGTTTATATCAGATGATTTTTAAGGGCACGGGATCTTTTTCAAGCACAGAATAAAGAAGGCCTGGAATTGGCAGTAGAGCTTACATCTGACGCCGACTCTTTCGAACTAAGCTGTTATTAATAATATTTCTTTTAAAAAAGAAGAAGCTAAAATTGCACAAGATGGATTGCTGGCAGAGCAAGGGAAAGGCGCATTGTACTGAGGAAGAATGATGCCTCGCTAGGCCCGGAAGGCTTCTTCAAGTCCTCCAAAATACCACACATACTCGCAGATAATTTTAGGTGCCAAAATGAAACACACACACACACCCAAATTGGGTTCAGCTTATCTGTGAGTGTGTTTATTTATTTAATTAATTTCTGTGTCTGCCCATCTCAACCAAATGACTCTGCGTGGCTATATATGGTAATGCCTTTTAAAAAGTACCTACAGTATATTCTCGCCATGCACATGTATACTGTACATAATCTGAACTGGACTGTGTGGTTTCTCTGTGTCATAGAATAAATGTGGATATATGCATAAATCTGTATTTATTTATTTGTTTATTTATTTATGTCATATTTATGTAGGGTATATTGGAGGTGGTGACCCTTTGAGAGCTGCGTGCAACAAAATGTCATTTTAATATATGCCAATTAGTGTACGTTCAAAGTGACAATAAAGTTGTTATTCCGTTCCATTCCATTCTGCTGCCCATAGATACTCACAGATAAGTCCCTCTGCAGATAAACAGGCTTATCCAAAGGTGGCACCTTTTTTCATAGTGTTGTGTCCTTTTAAAATTTGAAGATCTGCTTACAGGCAAGTCTACACGACAGGCTAAAGCTGAGATCCCTTGCAAACCATTTGTATTTCCGCAGTCGGTGGCAATTGTGAGTTTGGGTTGCTGAGCTTACCTGCTCCTTCATGACTGTCTCTCCCTGCTTCACCCCACCCCCACCCTCTGCACAGCGCATGGCCAAATCCAGCGAGAAGCCTCGCCTGCAGCAGATCCCCTCTTCCGAAGACATGGAGGCCGAGGCAGGAGAAGACCCGTGTGAGCAGCCCCAGGGCCAGGGGGAGCCTTCACCGTCAGGAGGTGGCAGCAAGGAAGCAGAAAGGATCTCCAGGTTGGGTCAACAGCCTCGAGAGGAGCTTCTCCTTCAACAGGTATTGGAAACGAACTGGGATAAAGAGAACTTAAATAAATGTTTTCCTTCTTCTGAAAGGCTGTATGTTAACAAAGATAAAGACTCTGCTGGGCTCTTGCTTCTGGCATGCTGTGGTTTGTCTTTTCTGCAATGTTGAGAACCTAATTCTGTGAAACATCGATTGTGTGAAAATGTGCTCTTTATTTTTGTGTGTGTGTGTGTAAATGCATACACATGCCCATTGATGCAGCTACTCTTGAAACTATAGAGTTAAATTTCTCTCTTTCCCAAAGAAATATTCCTCCCACACTCCTTTCATTTCCATGTTTTTCTCAGAATACCTTTGGATGAAATAAACAGCAGACCCTTTGCTTCCCTGTGACGTTAACAGATTTCCCATTCGACAGACTAGGTTTCCACATCAAAACCTTGCTGCAGCGATTAGGCCAGTGATGTAGTAACACCCCTGTTGTCTTTTCTGGCCATGTATATCTTTTGCATAATGGCATCACGCCGTTTTAACTGTCTCGGATTTAACTGTCTCATTGAACAGCCCTTTGCAAATAACAGACACGCCCTCCCTACAGTAGAAAAGTGGTTTTACTGCTATGAATGGTAATCCTAAATGTGTTTCCTAGAGAAGCAGGAACATAAATCAAAAGGAAGGTAGTGTGACTAATTTCCAAGCAGACGTTCCCCTCTCATCATTATGCCCTTTTTCTGCTCAGGGGGTGATTGCTCTCTCTCTCTCCCTCTCCCTTTCACACACATGCACACAATAAGACGATTGTGAGAGTGTGATTTGGGCTCCTGATATTGACACCCCTAAAACATGTTCTTCCAGCAGCCTTTGTTAGCCTTAGGCTCCATTCTCTGATTCCCTAGCAAGCCTGGCCTGTGATCGTCCCTGATCACATTTCCCCAAAGCTAGGGAAGGCTGTCGTAGGGCTTGACAGGCTGGATTAGAAACATCCTTTAATTTTCACTGTCTGTTCCAGGAAAGGATTCAAAAATTGCCTCTTGATTTTCCTAGAAAGCTTCTGAGCTTATCTAACTACCTCCTCTGATCCCTGACACAGAGCATCCCTTTTTCTTGTTCTTTTCTCTCTCTCTCTTTTCCAAATCTGTGGCTGTGATTGTGTCTTTGCCACCCAAATGCACTAGAGGGCGGCAGCTGCTAAGCCAAGCCAGTGTAGAAGCCTTCCTTTTAGTTTTAGTGGAGGAGATGGGCAGCAGGACCTCCCCCACGTGACCAGGCTCTTAATTCCATCCACAGGCCCATTATATCTGGGAACAACAACAGCGTATGCCACAGCAACAGCTCCTCCGAAGGCAGCCTGCCGACTCGTTGCTGACCCCAGCCGCACGGGGAGGCCACCGACCCCTCTCCCGGGCTCATTCCTCACCTGCCCCGGCCACCGCCTGTCTACCTAGCCAGGACACGTCTTCCAAGGCCATCCCACTCCCAGTGCAAGAACAGACCATCAAACCCCGCTTCACCACAGGTAACATGCCACGTTCTCCCTTGGTTTTGTGGAGATAGTTGCTCGTTTGTTTGTTCAATGTATACAGCTGCCCAGGCTACAGGCAGCTCAGGCTGGCATCCCCTGAGATCCATGTTTATGCTTCTCATCGTCTTTGACAAATGTGTTTGACTGCAGCCATTGGTAGCGCTTAACTGAACTTGGCCAAAAGTTCTCCAAAAAGTTAAGCTGGGTTGAACCTGATTAATAGTAAGGTGGAAGGCCATCAGGAAAGCCAAGGGTGAGAGGGAGAAACTGGGGGGGGGGGGGGAACACCCACTTGCAAGAAGGGAGTGACAAGCTGCTTCTATACCATTGTCAGGAAAACTGACAATGTGATCATATGACTAGACTGGACGTTTTTACCTTACAGTTGACCTGCGACTCTGGCCAGCAAGTTATTTCCCCACCCTTTTCTTCCACCAGACATGGAACCTCATCCTCTGTATGGGACATGTAATTCTAGCTATTGGTTTGCAAGCCATGGCTTGTGGCATAATGTGAACTTGATTGTGGCTTGCTCAACAAACCACAGTTAAAATAAAACATGCCTTAGGATACATGATCTGGGGCCATGCTCAGATTCTCTTCCCTCCTCACTTTCCTCTATCCCTAATTACTGTCTGCTCCTGACCAGGGAATGTGTACGGGAAGTCCTCAACTTACAAACATTCATTGAGTGACTGTTCAGAGTTATAGTGGTACTGAAAAAAGTGACCAACCACTTAAAAACCATCACATCATCCCCACAGTGACAGGATCAAAATTTGGGCACTTGGCAACTGGCATGTATTTACAACAGTAGCCGTGTCCAGGGCTCATCTGATCACCATTTGTTAAACTTCCTAGCTGGCAGCTTCCCAGAAGCAAAGCTAATGGGGGAAGCCAGATTCACTTAACGACCGTATGATTCACTTAATAACTGCAGTGATTTGTTTGACAACTGTGGCAAAAAAAATGTAAAATTGAGTGCTACTCATTTAACAGCCACCTTGCTCCCAGTGATGGTTCTAAGTAGAGGACTACTTGTATTGTCAGGACATTGGGCCATTATACATCCAAATTTTAATACGGGGCTGCAGTCGCCTGATTTATGCCAAGAGAAAAGGAGCCCCTCCCCTCACCCAGGCTAAGAAAGCAAACTTTACAGGGTTCTCTACCTGCTATTCATCCATTAGCCTCAACCAAATCTATTTCCTCATCTCTTAGAACAGATTTTTGAATAGGCAGGTAGAAGACGTTTGTCAACGCTGCTAACATCGGATATTTTTGCTTTGACAACAGATGGAGATGCAACCATTTTCTTCTTATGTTTTACTCTTAGAATTAGAGTTAGAGTTAGATGATGCTGGGGGGAGGAGGAGGAAGGTTCATGGGAGTTTAGCTGGACATAATAATACTGAACCTAGTGTGTGAACCAAGGTTATTGAAATAAGAGATGATAAGAATTGGTGGGCTGGAGAACTGGAGGGGAAGCCTGCATTTCAAACTAATTGGAGAATGTGATTTATGACTGTTAATTGCAGGAGGGAATTGTGCTTTGATACTATGTGCTTAGGGGAGGGGAACTCAGATTTTGGCTTCGACATAGTCAATGCTATGCTACTCAAATATTCTTTAAGGTAAACAATGCCTTGAAGTTCTTTGAAGAGTTTCATCTGTTGGAAGCATGACAACGTTCTTATATCTATTTTGCATTGGTGTAGTATTTTAAGCTATGTCAGTATATACTCACGTTTCTCAACCTTGGCAATTTTAAGGTGTGTGGACTTCAGCTCCCAGAATTTTCAAGCTGGTTGGCTGGTGAATTCTGGGAACTGAAGTCCATATACCTTAAAGATGCCAAGGCTGAAAAATACAAATACATACCCCTTGATAAAATACTGCATTGAATGCCACTGTTTTATTGGAATGTTGTGCTTTTATTGTATTGATTTTTTTTTCAAAAAAAAACCCCAAATTGCATGGCACCTAGAGAAATACATCGCACGAAACATTTAACTACAAATATAACGCTTGATATGTAATATAAAGTAGTAAGGGGTCTACCTGAAGCCCCACTTAAAGTGCAGAAATTGTGTGTGTGATACAATCTCACCCTGGATTGTATTTCAGTGGATGTCTGTTTTAGAAAACAAAACCTCTTCTACGTAAAGGACTTACATATTACAGAAAGATATATACTTTCATATACTAATAGTTTTCATGCTCATCAGTATTTTACTACAGTAATAATAATCCCATTCATATTCTAGAACTTTTAAAAGGAATGTTCTTGTGGGTTAAGAAAAAAAAATCTCCAGTCAAAAATTGTCCATCTGCGGAGTTTATTTATTCAAGCAGAAAAGATTTAGAGTTAACAACTTCTCATCTCCAGGCTGTCTTTTTGTCCTAGAAAAAGGATCCCAGGTGCTGTTTCTTCAGGTTTAAACTAGCACTGGAGACTCGCTGAGTCCAAATAAAACTCAAGCTTTATGAATGACTCGGATGCCTCTTTTCCTGCTGTTTTAGGGATCGTGTATGATTCGGTCATGCTGAAACATCAGTGTTCGTGTGGAGACAACAGCAACCATCCTGAGCATGCAGGCCGAATCCAGAGCATCTGGTCTCGCCTACAGGAGCGTGGCCTACGCAACCAGTGTGAGGTAGGGGGCAGTGCAGGCCAGATGTGAATACAGAACAATCCTCTCTTCTCTCAATCTGATTGAATAACAGAATAACAGAGTTGGAAGGGACCTTGGAGGTCTTCTTGTCCAACCCCCTGCTCAGGCAAGAAACCCTACACCAGTGGTGGCGAACCTATGGCACGTGTGCCAGAGGCGGCACTCAGAACCCTCTCTGTTGGCACACGCGCTGCCAGCAGCAGGTCCATCAGGCTGCCGCCACCGCCCAGAGCAGGAACCCCGCCCAGCATAAAGGAGGCCAAGCGGCCAACTAGCAAGCTTGAGTAGAGGTGGTAGAGCAGAGGTCACCAACCATTGTCGATTGGTGGACTGGAAGAAAAGGGAGGGGAAAGCATTTTACATGCCTGCATGCATGCATGGAGCCGCAAGCACGCACACACTGCAAATGGGGCAGGGCTAGTGCCTGTGTGATACTCACTCACCCTGCCCCGTTCTTGCATGGTGCAGTGCCTTGTATCTGCACCCTGTGGTGCCGCGGTGGCCGTGTTTGCGTCTTGCAGCACGGTGGCCCATTTTTGCACGCCTGGTTTTTGCGTGCCAGACGTGGCACTCAGAGGCGCCTTTCTGCCACCACCCCCTCCCGAGGGCACCACAATGCTGATGCGCCCCTGGCACTTTGTGATAAATAAGTAGGTTTTGGGTTGCGGTTTTGGCACTCGGTCTCTAAAAGGTTCGCCATCACTGCCCTACACCATTTCGGACAAATGGCTGTCCAGTTTCTTCTTAAAGACTTCCAGTGTTGGAGCATTCACCGCTTCTGGAGGCAGGTTGTTCCACTTGTTAATTGTTCTAGCTGTCAGGAAATTTCTCCTTAGTCCTTGTAGGTTGCTTCTCTCCTTGGTTGGCTGCTGATTTAGATACAGAATCTGCAAGACAATTAATAATTCTATACATATTTACTGGTGGCTAATTCTTTTTTTTTAAATTACAATTCTATATGGACAGTGGTGATGGTGGGCTTTTGTGGTTGTTGTTTATAAAAACAAATTTTGGGCAACCGTTTTTTTAGAAAGCTAAATGCCGTCTCACGCCACTGATACTTTAGCTTCAATTAATTTCTGCAGCAATGTGGGCTAGAAACATATTTGAATCTAAATGTATAATTGTTCATGGTTTTGCCAACCCTCAGAACTTTAGCTTTAGTACTGTTGCTGTCTTATTACAGGATGAGAGACGCCAGATATTTGCCACCTTGGGTGACATATAAAAATAATAAAAGATATAAATAAGAAAGGTAGTTACTTTCTAAAACATCCCAAATCCAGAGTCGCTTATTCAACAGTAGTAAGGTCAACAGGCCTCAGTTTAATAGAGAAAGAATTGTTAAAGAAGCAATGCAGAGAGTCCTTGATTTACTGCCACAATTCGGGACTGGAAAAATCCATCATTAAGTGATGCAATCATTAAGCAAGACATTTGCAACCTTCCCTGCTGGCTTCTCCATTGTTTTTGTCAGAAGCCAGTTGGGAAGGTCGCAAATGCCAATCATGTGATCCGGGACACAAATATATACTGGTTGCTAAGTATCTGAAGTGTGGCCTCATGACCACGGGGACACTGCAACAGTCATAAGTGTGAGGATCAGTCAGAAGTCACTTCTTTCAGCATCCATATTTAAATTACTGTATAGTATTAAATTAAAAGAGGAATTGATTTAACCTTACAATATGATTATGAGAAATATTATTTGTAAGCATACTTCTTCCCTATGATTTCATGTAATAATAATAATAATAATAATAATAATAATAGTAGTAGTAGTAGTAGTAGTAGTAGTAGTAGTAGTAGTAGTAGTAAAGTTGGAAGGGATCTTGAAGGTCATCTAGTCCAACCCCCTGCTCAGGCAGGAAACCCTATACCATTTCAGACAAATGGCTGTCCAGTCTCTTCTTAAAAACTTCCAGTGTTGGAGCATTCACCACTTCTGGAGGCAGGTTGTTCCACTGGTTAATTGTTCTAACTGTCAGGAAGTTTCTCCTTAGTTCTAGGTTGCTTCTCTCCTTGATTAGNCAATTCCAGCAGCCGTTCCTTATATGTTTTAGCCTCCAGTCCCCTAATCATCTTTGTTGCTCTTCTCTGTACTCTTTCTAGAGTCTCAACATCTTTTTTACATCGCGGTGACCAAAACTGGATGCAGTATTCCAAGTGTGGCCTTACCAAGGCATTGTAAAGTGGTATTAACACTTCACGTGATCTTGATTCTATCCCTTTGTTAATGCAGCCTAGCACTGTGTTGGCCTTTTTGGCAGCTGCAGCACACTGCTGACTCATATTTAGGTGATTGTCTACTAGGACTCTGAGGTCCCTCTCACAGTTACTACTATTGAGCAAGGTGCCACCTATGCTGTACTTGTGCATTTGTTTTTTCTTGCCTAAATGTAGAACCTTGCTTTTTTCACCATTGAATTTCAGCAAGGTATTGAATTTCAGCAATGTAATTATATTAGATCGTGGTCCCAAGCAGCAATGGCATTTTAAATCTCTCTTTCTCTCTTTGTGTTTGTGTGTGTAATAATCAGTGCAAATCAATTCCGTGTAGGACAAAGGACTCTTCACTAATGGTTAGGACCACAATCACATTCTTCATTGCAGATTAGTAGACAGATATTTTCGAATTACCCAGTCTAGGGCTAAGAGAGGGAGGTGGTTTATTATATAAATATTTGAATGAACTGGTTTTTATTGGGCATTGTATCTTGCAGATAGAGCAGTATTTCATCTGCAGACATAACAGATGGTAGTAGTTAATTCTCTGGTGTGAAAAAAAACTTCACTTGATTTTTGCACATCAGGCTGCTATAAAATACACAGGAGATGGGCTATTTATTATTTCTGGTCAATTGGCTGTTCTCCAGTTTAATGGTTCTTCTACCCCCTCTGTCCCTCCCTCACCCACCCCTCCAAATACCTGATTGACATACTTTGGTGAGGATGGTAAGACTTCTGTGGGCCCTAATTTCTAAGCTTCTCAAGACAAAACATAAACCAGTCTTTTCCTCATTTAAAGAGTGGAATTACTGCAGAAAAAGAAAGTCGGGGAAGTCAAAAATAAGACAACTCTCTTTAATTTCCTCCATGTGGTTTTGACTCCAATACCCTGAAGACCACATTGCTTTGATTTCCGAGTTTTGCAGTCCTGGTACATTTGGGAGGCTCTAGATTGGAAGAGTCAAAGATGAAGAAGTTTAGAAAATTTTTCTGGAGGAACCTAAACCCAATCAAAAGGCAATAGCCTGTGTTCCCATTCTGAAGCAACACCTACTTAGCCAAGATTCCAGTTCTCTCCTTACAATCCTTGCCCATCATCTTGTTTCTAGCCAGTGATTAAAACAATGGATATTTCCATAGTTAAATGTTTATCCACTGATGTACACATAAAACCACCATTAGTTTCTCAGATAATTCAAAAGCATTTGATGGATTGAGTGGTAAACAGGTTCCATAAATTCTAGCCAGGTTTTATGACGATGCCTACTTTGCAGATGCCTGACAGATGTGCATCTCACCAGAAACATCCACACATCTCAAAACAATTATGGACAGTTAGTTTCTTTTAAAACTCTTCACTCCCCATATAGCTTGAATCAGAGATTTAGCCTTTTCTTTCCTCTGCTTCTTCCTTTTACTTCATATCTGCAAAGTACCGTAAGCTTAGATTCCCTTTTTATCTCTAGCTTTTGTTCCAAAATATTAACTAGATGGACTATGCACATTCTTTGGGGATGGATGGAACATTCCCAGCAATAGCAGTGTGCTTCTACACACACACACGGACCCGCGCACGCTTGCATGCACACACAAAACAATTAACCAGTGGAACAGCTTGCCTTCAGAAATCATGGGCGCTCCATCACTGGACGTTTTTAAGAAGAGACTAGACAGTCACTTATTTGAAATGGTATAAGTTCTCCTGCTTGAGCAGGGGGCTGGACTAGAAGATCTCCAAGGTCCCTTCCAAGTTCTATTCTATTCTATTCTATTCTATTCTATTCTCTACTCTACTCTACTCTGCTCTGCTCTGCTCTGCTCTGCTCTGCTCTGCTCTACTCTACTCTACTCTACTCTACTCTACTTTATCCCATCCATTCCATCCTCTTCCATTCTCACACACAAGCACCCCAAAGATCCAGAAGGTTGTTCCAAGCATAATAGCATTTTCATGGGTGAAATAGAGGAAGGAAAAAAAACCCAAAATTGTTTCACCGGCCCATTGGATGGGGGACCAGTTTGGAGAGACCTTTTGACATAATGGTTGTGCACAACCTGTGTCAGTCATGCTGTTTTGGGAAAACCTCTCCACGGAATGTACAAGCCATGAGTCAGATCAAACTTTGTCCATTCTTTAAAAAGAGCCCTGCATCCACTACCTTAAATGGTTGACTCCTTTCAGGATGTGCCTCCCCCTTAAAGCAAGCCAAGGAGATTGTCTGGAGACAGCCTCAATGCTTGGAAACACCAGAATGCTGCAGCTGGCTCTCAAGCCAGCAGCTTCTAAGTCAAGCACTAAATCCTAGAAATATTTATCTTTTTTCTCAGAGCTTCGTTATTTTCTCCCCAGCATCTCAGTCAGCTTCCTAGAATACCTGCAGAAGCCCGTTTCGTTGTCTGATTCTTGTGATGTAAGCCAACCCTTGTTTTTCTGCTAGTGCCTTCGAGGACGCAAAGCCACCTTGGAGGAGTTGCAGTCCGTTCATACTGAGCGTCACGTGCTGTTATACGGCACCAACCCTCTCAGTCGCCTGAAGCTGGACAACGGCAAACTGGCAGGTAAGAGGCAATGTAATGTCTCCCTTCATCCATGGATTGAAGTTGAGGAGAGCCAAAAAGGACAGTGCATCTCCGGGGCCAAAACCTGCCAGAACCCTCTTGCAATCTTCTGTGTTGGTGTAGATATGCTCCACTAATAAGTACCCTCCCAGGATGAATAGCTGGCGAATGACTGAGATCTAATCGTTGTTGTGCTAGGGAGAAGAAATGGGAAATCTAGGATGTTTCAAGTGAAGAGAGTCTTCAGCTGTGCTGCACCTTTCTTGTGTCATTTATTTGCTCTTTTAGTTCATTTATATCCACCTTTCTTCTAAGGAGCTCCAAGTGGCATAAGAAGACAGCAATCATTTCTCCTTTATGTCCTCCAAAATAATTCAGTCACACACACACACACACACACACACACACACAGTCAGCCAGTGTCTTCCCATAATACCTGAATGAGGACTTCTCCAGTCCAATAATCTTAAATACTGTCCCAAATCCAAGGTCACTTTTGCAAGATGGGGCTCCACAGAGTATCCCATGAGAAGATTGTTTGATACGTGATAGGAAATATATAAGTATTTTAAATAAAATGATAAATTAATCGAGAGACCCTCATCTCGCGCTCTCGCTCTCTTTCTCTCTCTGATTCTTATAAGTGCAAAATACCCCTTCAACTACAAGCTGAATTACCATACCTTTTATATGCATGCATATATCTATCCATAAATATGTGCACGATGTTTTCCTATTTCTACTCTTCCCCAAAGTGGGAAGAACGTCCGTATGATATATAGCATGCCCAATTCATTTGAAACTAACTTTAACTCTAAGAAGTCTACCTCAAAGAGCTGTGGTGGCGCAGTGGTTAGAACGCAGTATTGCAGGCTAATTCACAGCTGACTGCCAGCGGTTCAATCCTGACCTGCTCAGACTTTGGTTGACTCAGACTTTCATCCTTTTGAGGTTGGTAAAATGAGGACCCAGATTATTGGGGGCAATATGCTGACTCTGTAAACCGCTTAAAGAGGGCTGTAAACAGTGGTGGGATTCAGCCGGTTCTCACCACTTCGGCAGAACCGGTAGCTAATTTTTTTGTTGCCCAGGCCCAGAATGGACTTCCGGAAGTGGCATCCACACAGAGAACCGGTTGTTCACATATCTGAATCCCACCACTGGCTGTAAAGCACCGTGAAGTGGTATTATAAGTGAAAGTGCTACTGCTATTGCTATTGGGCCTCCTAACCACAGCTTCCTGCTGAGAGTAATTCCTGTGCTGATAAAAACAGGATCACCAACATGATCACCAACGTCCGATAACAAATATGGCACAAGAAGAAGACGTTTCCAAGCAGTAATTGACCCTCTTGCTTACTGTGTAAATGCACAATCTGTGCCCACCACAAAGCCAGAATTCCCTCCCCCAAAAGATATCTCCAAATTGTAAAATTCAGTCTAAGGGGAAATTCTTAACAAGGTAGAAACCAATCCTAGTCACTCTTATTACTCTAATTAATGAGCTAAGTTTCAGTTTAAATTAAATCACATCAAAGGGAGCTTTAATTCTGATCTTAACTACTTTTTTTTTTTTTAATGAAACCCCTATTCAAAAGCCAAATATGAGTTCCTGGTTCAATAGAATCTAAACTTATTTGTACTTTTTGGTATTCAGGATAAGGTGCAAAGGATGGGAAAAATGTTAAGACTTGCCACATATTTCAAAATTCTATCAGTAATACATTTTACATCTTTTGTGCTGAATGCAATTCAGTCATTGTAATATATTTAGATGCTCATACCCTTAGACCGCTCATTGGCTGCATTCTTCATATATTTAAACAGGTGATAGATAATATGTACCAATGGCTGTATATAAAGCGGTATATAAATCTAAGTGCCATTGCTATTGCTGTGAAGATACAAAATGTTCTCCAACTTGCCTCTTCAGAGAATTAAAATGCCTAGAGTTCCTTTGAACGTATTCTCCCCCTTTTCAGATGGTTTGTGTGTAGCGCTGTGGTACAGTAAGAGTCTGACTCCCATATATTTGGTTACAGCCCAGTTGTCTTCTCTTACGTTCTTGCAGGAATCCTGTCCCAGCGGATGTTTGTCATGCTGCCCTGTGGTGGAGTTGGGGTAAGCATCTTCTCCAGCAGGCGGGATGGTTTCCATCAAAAATTCTTTCCCATACCTTGTTTCCCATCACAACAGGCTGAAGTTGGTTTGTGCCCTGGATTTCCAGGAAACAAGAGAGACCCTACTGGAATGCACAGGGGTGGAAGGGAGAGAATTGGAAAGTTTTAGGTCCAAAAAGAGTTGCAGATGGTTGGTCTGCCTATTGCTAACTGGCATAGCCTCGCATCTAAAAATGAGCTTAGAGAATGTGAGCCATTTCATGTCATGTGAGTACAGGGTATGGATCAGAACATGAAGCAAACCTGAGATTCAATCAGAGGGTGGAGTGTTACTTTTAGATAGTTCTTTGTCACTCAGACTACAGGGGTCAAGGAGTGCCTACCTCTCTCCTTTCTTAATTTTTTTTTTTTATCAGCATGCCTTTTCCAGACTTTCTAATCTGGTTCCTGGGTGGTTGAGGGCTGTATCTATGCTTTTTCTCCAATTTGTCCTGTGGAGAAAGTTTAAGAATTAAGAGACAAGCCAAAAGGGAGAGATTCATACCTACCACTTCCATAGCAAGATTGCTGCTTACCCCAACATGCTACTCAATTCTCTCACATCTGGGAGCATTGGTAAAGCGGAGGTGCTCCAAGAAACTGGAAAAGAGATTCCAGTAAACAATCTTACCCACTTGCTCTGTTTCAGAATGTTAAGGTCAAAATATTCCTAGGCTGGAACAATATCTTGGCAACTTCTGTTAATGGGCAAGGGACGTTTCAGTAAGCCTGTTGGGCAGAGGAAAGGTATCCATGGACCTCCAAATCTGTTTAGACTAGGATTCCCAGTATCCCCCCAAAATAGATGAATTAGATAGAGGCTATTTGAAGGCCAACATCGTATAGAACAGGGATCACCAACCTTTCTGGGTTGGCCCAGTAGGAAAGGGAGGGGCAGATATCTTTACGCGTGCATGTGCACACACCCAAATGTAGCTGTGCATGCGTACGTGTGAATGGGGCCACGACCTTGCGTGCTCCATAAATGGGGCTGCTAGCACTTGCGCTAGAGTCTTGCCAAGGCTAGTGCCAGCGCGAGGGTCTCACCAAGGCTAGCACCGGCGCAACAGGCTCACCGAGGCTAGCGCTGGCACAAAGGTGTCACTGAAGCTAGAACCAAGGCTAGCACAGGCATGAGGGATGTGTCGAGGCTAGTGCAGGCACAAGGGTTGCGTCGAGGCTAGCGCCAAGGCTAGCACCGGCACGAGGGTCGTGCTGAGGCTAACGCCAGTGCGAGACTCACACCAAGGGTCGCACCAAGGCTAGTGCAAGCGTGAGAGTCATACCAAGGTTAGCGCCGGTACGAGACTCACACCAAGGGTCGCGCTGAGGCTAGCGCAGGTGTGAAGGTCGTGCCGAGGCTAGCGCTGTCGCAAGGTGGTGTGAGCATGCATGCATGTACTGGCCAGCCACTTACGCGACCCGATGGCCAGGAGGCCACGGCCCAGTAGTGGGCTGCAGCCCATAGGTTGGGGACCTCTGATATAGAAGGCTCCAGTTGTCTTTACTAAACTTTACCATGCTGTTCCCCAGGTTATTGTGAAGTCACTGGGTATAAGGTGAAACCCGCCAGGGTTCTCTCTGTAGGCATGACAAGATCTGGCTGTCATATCACATACCATGTGATGGCCAATGAATTCAGCTCAAATGTTTTGGGAGGAATCTTGGTAAAATATACACAGCAACAAACCAATATATTTGGCTCATCCTAGCTAAATCCCTTAGGTGTTTTTTTTCCCACCTTTCTTCGGTGTGTCCATTTTTCCAGCCGTACACTGTCCTCTAAGTCTAGTTCATAAGAAAGTGCTAAAGAACTTGCATTACAGTCGTAAAGTTTGAAGGGAACCATTATTCTACCGACACTATTTCTTGACATAGTAAATTAGATGTTAACGAGTTCACGGCTAGATTTTCCATTAGCACATGATTTGCAGCATTAAACAGATTTTGCGTGAAGAGCCTTTCACCCAGTGAGCTCTGCCCACAGTCTGATGGTACAATCCAGACCTTGGCTTTCTCCACTTAGCAAGAATAGCGGTCAATACTCCTGGAATGGTGATGGCCCATTGCACCACCTTCTATTTCTTATCCCACTTCCATTCTGATGTTCAGACCCAGAAGTATTCCTGAGAAGGGTTGGTGGAATAGGGTTAGGTTGGAGAAAATCTCCCTGGCCCCTCCTTCTCTCTGTCTCTCACGTCCCTCCCTCTGGGCTCTCTGCCACGTTCACTTTCGTTCATCGCCTTCTTGCGTGCCTTTTTTTTTTCTCACTCTCTTTTTTCCAGGATGCTGCCTCCCCGACCATCCCTCTTCTCCTTCTCTTAACCTTTTGCTCCCTTTCTCCTGCTCTCTGTTCCTTCTTTCTTTCCCCCTTCCTTTGTCCTTACTGACGGGGCTTGGATCCTCTCTTCCCCCTCCCTTGCACCCGGAGAGAAAGAGAGGGAGAGGGCGTGCGCGCCTGGAGCACTAAGGCAGAAGGCAGGCTCTGCTCACACATGGAGTTGATCAGAAGAGAATCTCTGAGGTTTTCCGGCTCTTACTTTGCCGATGACGTGATCCTGATCAAACCAAGATGTTTGTTTTTGAAAAAAAATATCAAATAGAATCAAGAAGGTAAAAAGAATGGGTTCTTCCTGCCCCCCAACTTTTGCAACTAGCTCTAGAGGGGGAATGTGTGGGGAACACTCTCCTGCATGTTGGTGTCGATGGAACCTGTGGGAGCCCAGCAAAGCTGAAGAGTTGGGGATGGGGTTGTTGTCTAGCTTGTCGATTGTTGTCGTTCATGAACGGGCACGTGTTGCATGCCAAGGGCTGCACTGTTCTGATTTGCCCTCAAATAGAGGATGTCCATTTCGTAGAGCTGCATTTGACAGTTGATTTGATCAGGGCTGCTATCTGAAGACAAAGTCTCCTTGGTGCAAAACTAGTGATGGCGTCCAGCAGCTCTTCCACTGGTTTTGTTCTACCCCATCTCATGGGGGGGGTGAGGGTGTGGTATGTGTGTTGATATGCGTATACCATTAGTCCATATCGTGGGCTTCTTTCTTGCTGTGTACATTAATGTAACCACAGGGCCCTTTTTGTAGATTGAACTCTTCTTTGTCTCCTACTGGGTCCAGGTGGATAGTGACACCATTTGGAACGAGCTACACTCCAGCAATGCTGCACGGTGGGCAGCTGGGAGCGTGACTGAGCTGGCCTTCAAAGTGGCCAGTCGGCAGCTTAAGGTAAGAGCCCTGGGACAGCCAGGTAGATAGGGAGTGCCCCTCCACTCACCTTTTGGATTTCTAAATAGCATGGGATTCTCTCAAAGGGGTTTCCAAAATGTATTTTTGCAGAGATAACACGCATAGGAAAAAAGAGTGGCATCAACTGCCCATCTGTCCATTATTCTCCTCTCCCCTTTTCAAGGGTGTTTTGTGTGTGTGTGTGTGTGTGTGCAGACACACCTTCAAGTTAGTGTTGAGGTCCCTGCAGTTTTCTTGGCAAGTTTTCAGAAGTGGTTTGCCATTTGTCTGCTTCCTAGGTTGGAAAGAGTGTGACTGGCCCAAAGTCACCCAGCTAGCTCTTGTGCCTAAGGTGGGACTAGAACTCATAGCCTCTTGATTTCTAGCCTGATGCCTTAAGCATTACACCCAACTGGCTGAGTCTTTCAAAATTGTTTCTGGCTTCAGAGTTTGGGTGGACTACCATCAGCACCTGGGCTCATGGGGCAACTGCTGGTATCTCAGCAGGACCTTCCATTGATGATGGTCAAGGAATTAAAAAGTGCCCACATCTCCCAACCTCACATACATATCATCATTTTTTGCTAGGTATTCCAAAAGACTGAATAAGCACAGAATCTGAAAAAAACCTGCAAAGCTGAGCTGGGGTATGGAAATAAATATGATTTCCATTGATGGTTCTGACAAGGATAATCAGAGTCCTCCCCCTGCCCCTAAATTGACTTCATCTTGTTATAGCACAGAACAATTGCACATACATCTGAAGACAGAGCAGGTGTTTCTAGTCCTCTTCTGATTAGTGTAACTTTCTGTTTAAAAACTTTGCTCAAAATTGGATCCTCCAGTGAAGTCACAACTGCAGCTGGTTGTTAAGCAGAAGGACCTTCTGTGGTGACTCCAAGGCTTTGGCAATAGCTTCAAGGAGGTGTAGCAATGGTCTTTGTTGGGCTTTCAAGGGAACAAAGCTCACTTATATTCATAGGCATTTGGCAGCTGGACCTGGGAATGTGTTTTAACTGAACACTTACCCATTTCAGTTGTCAGGCTAAACACTTTTTTTGAGAGAGAGGGGAGAGGGAGGGAGGGAGAGAGAGAAAGAGAGAGAAGGAAGGAAGGAAAGGAAGGAAAGGAAGGAAGGAAGGAAGGAAGGAAGGAAGGAAGGAAGGAAGGAAGGAAGGTATTACTGGTTCCCTTTTTCAGACCTGTTTTCAGCAGTCAGCTTTTATTCTCATCCTCTTCCTTGATGGAACTGTTTCTTCCTTCATAGAGGAATTCCACCCAATCAGGAAACATTACAGGATTGTGTTGATGTCATGGAGTAATATAGCTAATCAGATTTGACTGGTAATGACATCTCACAGTGTAAACAAAGCTGTTTTAATCAGAAGTAATAAAATAAAGACCCCTACGAAACAGTTCAGTTCTCACTTTTTTTTTAGGACTGATCAAATTATGTCTCTTCAAGGCCAAAATGTTGCTGGAAAGAGGACACTTTTTATAATATTTTCAAATAGCTGTAGTTTTTATTTTATGCAAAGTTGAACATTGCAACTTTTAAAAATACAGATTGTTTCCAATTTCTTTTCTTTGGTTATATAGTTTAACGGAATGGGGTGCAGGTTTTTTTTCCCCCCTATTTTGGAAAAGTATCTTAAGCTTAAAGAAATGCAAGCATATTAATACAACTTTAAATTATGTCAGCGGTATTTTGCCAAAGTATGAAAAATGTAATAATAATTATTAAACAGAAAAATCTTAAATGTGAAAAAAATAGGTGAGAAAAAACTTTAACAGTAACTTAGGTAATTAATGGTTGATTGCCAAGAAGATTGCCACATGAGTTGATTGCTCTTATGTTTTGGGGAAATCAGTGGGACTTGAATTAATCTTGGCTAATATTTCATATTGCTTTCATTGGGAAATGTGTCTTTATTGCTCTGGATTTAACCTGAACTTTTTTCCATATCTTAAATATATAGTATAACTGTATTAGTATTACTAGTCATTATAATTGTAACAATGTATGAAATTTAAGTATAGTTGTCAATCGATAGAGTGGTTTCTGTCATCTAAACAGGAAGGAGCTATTCTCACACACACACACACCAGGTTCCCCAATACCTTAAAATCTTGTCTGGATTTTGGGAGTACAAGTAGTCGTCACCATTTAGTGACTGCCTCATTAATTACAACAGTGGTGAAAAAATAACTTTGTGACCAATCCTTGCACTTACAGGTCTGTAGAGCAAAAGGAAAACTGAAGTAAGATCATAGGCAATCACGGTTTCACTTAGTGACCACTTTGCTTAATGACAGAGCCACTAAACAAAGACTGCCCTTATAGGGGGAAGGTTGCAGGAAAGAGGATAGGAGGAGAAAATCTCATCGAAGATACACACAACAGTAGATCTAGCACATTTGAATTATTTATTTATTTATTTATTTATTTTTCCCATTTATACCCCGCCCTTCTCCCGAGGGACTCAGGGCGGCTTACAGGTAAATAAAAACAGTATAATACAATAAATATCTCTAAAAGCCAAATTAAAATATATATTAAATAACCTGTATTAAATTTAATATTATAAAATCCCTTTAAAATCCCTATAAAATCCCCCCCTAGGCCAATCCCGCTTGATGGAAAAGCCATGTCTTGAGGGCACGGCGGAAGGAGGGGAGGTCCGGAATAATCCGGATCTCTGGGGGGAGTTCGTTCCACAGGGTTGGGGCTCCCACAGAGAAGGCCCTCCCCCTGGGGGTCGCCAGCCGACACTGTTTGGCCGACGGCACCCTGAGGAGGCCCGCTCTGTGGGAGCGTACCGGTCGATGGGAGGCAATCTG